TTAGACAAAATACATCATGAACAAAATGATAACCATAATCCTAATCATATGCATTGTTCATGACCTAAGTCTAGCCTTGGTCCAACGGCCCCAAAATGCAAAATCATCATAAGTCTACGAGCTCATCCTACGGGCCTCTTGCCCGCCGCTCCAACTCCACTGGCACTACTTGAAATAAAGCCCCCAAAGCGGGGTGAGATATACTAATATATCTCAGTAACCCAGAGGTTCTGGAGAATACTCCGCCCAATGGCTCACTTCGATGCATATAAATAATACAACATAACATCTGAAAACGGGATAAAGCAAGGGATTTAGTGAAACAGGGGAGCATAGGGATACAAAATACGACGAAGCTGGAATGGTCAATGCCAAAACCACGCAACGTCCAGCCTATTGGCCTCGGCATACAAGCCTACGGGTTTCAAACCAAGGAGTGTTCCCAGAACATCAACCGAGGCACCCTCCATCCATATCCACCCGAGACTTCCTAGTGTGCTCCTCTACAGATCACACACCACGACCCCAGGTCAACTGGAACTCCCTCACGGAGACCTATCCAGTGAAAATCTGTAACGCCCGAAGGCAAACAGTCTACTGGCCAGAGACACGGTACATCCTACCATTACCCTCAACGGGCATGGTGGAACACACATACAATATGCATGAACATGTTATCCTATATTATTTACATACATTTTCTACCATTACCCTCAACGAGCATGGTGGAACACACAAGGGGATCAAACCCCAGTACCAAGGGATTACCTTACTAATCACCTTCTTGTAGCTCCAACGCAATACTTCCCCAAGCTAGGTACAACAGAAATGCCTACACATAGGCCATTCCCAATTTAATTTCCATTCACCAATTACATGTTAGACATAGGTGTCCTAAAGACAATCTGAGAGTCAGATGGACCCATGTACTTCTTTATTTGTTATGAGTATATTTTATGAATAAAAGCGTTATTTATCTTTTTTCATATTGCATGTCTCAAATATTGAATATGAGTAACTGGATAAAGCCCTTGAATGGAACGGGTGTCACATTGAGGATTTGTGATAGGGATCACGATCATGAGGGCTCAATGACACCACACGTCCATTTCCAGAAATATGTTCCTAGTCTAGAGATACCAATAATGGGCATTGGTGATCTCGGGTAAGACTAACACGACTCAGCTACTTGGGTGTGTCTTTCCTTAGACCTAACGTTGTCATATAGACCTGTGCTCTGGAAGGCTTGCTTTGATTGTATATCTTGTCTGCCTGAAAAATAGAGACTCGTAGGTATACTCTTGGGCATGCCCTTAGGACTCAGGGCTAGTGTGACAAGCTAAAAGAATTCGTCAATCTTTGTGAGAGATTTGGTTATCCGTAGACCGGTGAAACCGGGATGACATTTACGAGACTCGGGAATCTATGCATAGTAAATGAGTCATGAGATGGCCCGCTCTTTAGAGTCCGTAAATGAAGATTCCCTGTTTCAGCAAAAGCTAACCCTAGACCGCAGGGGTTGATACGTTTTCCTTGACCTAGGTCAATGGGATGGATAACCGAGACGAAAGGACAATTCACACGGTAACCAAATAGGTATAACAGGTTGATCATTCGATGAACTCAACTAGCTCTGGGACAACAAAGCATTGCTAGTGCTCTGTGTTGTCATTAGATGGATTGGGCCTAATGGGCCCAAGCCCATTTATGTCAGTGGCTATGTTGGGCCTGATGGGTCGCACACAAACACCTTAAGTTGTCTTGAATTCTAGCATATGTGTTTTGGGCCCAATAAGACATAATGGGCCTAAGTTGGAAAAGCTCACATATTGGGCCAAGAGAGAGTAGGTGGCATCATGGGTCAAGCTGGACTTGATTCATGATGTAACCTAATTAATTTAAATGTTAAATTAATAAAATTAATTTGAATTCTAATTTCGAATTTCGAATTTGAAATTTGGTTTAAAGAAGCATTTTGCGATTAACGTGCAAAATCGGTTGATAACCCTATTCATTCCCCTCCAGGGTTATCTTAGATTTCCCAACCTATCATCTTTAAGAAGCCACTTGCTAACGGTATTAAAATAACAAAATATGATAAAGCCAATATCTAATATTTAGATAGCTTACTAAAAAATCTCATCTTTACACACAGAATATCATAGCAATTAAACATATAATGGATCTAATTGAGGAGGATGACTCCAAAAAATTAGGAGATTCTCAACAATGGATGATCTCACAAGAGATTTTAGATGGACAATATACAGTGGGGGACGCTCTGCTCTGACTTAGAGCCTGGCCACATAAAGTAGCCTCACAAAGTTAGACCCAATCAGTTGGGAAACTAGCAGATCAAACATAATTGAGCAAATCTATCCAAAACAGTTATTAGTTATCAAAATAGAAACTTATATTTACTCAATTAGTCCTCAAGGTTAATCATATTTATTCCATATTTCATTTATTTTTCTAACTCTTCTAAATAAGTAGGTATAATTTATCACAATGGGATTTTGGATTGTACTCTACGAAAACAATTAGGTTATGCATATGATTTTCCATGAGGAGTACTTGAAGGATTAAAAGGTGCCACCTTTATGAATTTGAAAGGTATTCGTGCATCTTTATCCAAAAAAAAAGGTATTCATGCATGATGTAAAAATAAAAATCATGATGTATGCAATAGAAAGAACAAGTCTGTACATCATACACATGGTTTTTTCTCAATATAAAATTGAGGTGGGTGATTAAGACCATACCTTTGGCACTTTAATAATTTATTATGGTTTGCACGAGAGAGGGTTGGATAACTTAGAGTCAATCTAATGGTGATCCACATTATCTCCTAATATGGCAATAGAGAACGTCTTCTTCTTCTTGTCACATCCAACCTTAAGAGCTTGCTAGGCTTTGGAATAAGGGTGAAGGTCAAGTGTTTAGGTGAAGAAAGAGAAGAGGAGCACAAGAGGCAAAGGAAGAGAAAGAGAGAGAGACAAAGCAAGTGGCGCTAGGATTTTTCCAATACCCTATGCGACTTATTAATACTTAGGGCATGAGTGAATCATCATTCACTTAAGCCTGTCCCAAGTTGGTACTCACTTAAGCCCAAATCTCCCCTACTTGTTTCTACAATTGGAATTGACCGTGATGGAGCCCAATTAGTCCTTACTAATCAGCTTATACTCTCAGTAACTAGGACTAGATCTACCCAATTGTTCTTGGCAATAGAGTAGTACGCCAAAGTATGACCTTTCGGATATAGTGTATGATAACAACTTCTAGTCTAAAGATAATCTGCACTACTGAACAATGAAAGACATTATATATCCAACTATATTTCTATAAATTCCCCTGTGGAATCTCTCAGTGGGTCAGTTCAGTGCGACTCAATTTAATATGAATCCAACCACAACATAGGTTAAGACATTTCATGCCTGCAGTTATAAGGTCTTTACCTTACATATCCATGTAACCTAGTGTTGTGTTAGTCTAATTAAGACAACCAGTGCCCTTTCTTGGTGACTCTAGACTAGGAATACATTTAACAAATAGTCACATAGTTAGCTTGAGTTCTCGTAATCATGATTTCATCATAGATCCTAAAGACACACCATTATTACCCTAAGGATCTTTATCTATATATGCATACAGGAAGAGGCAAACAATATGAGATTTATCTTGTGATGTGTATGAATAAACATATAGAAAATATCATATAGTGCTTTGTAGTACAAATAAAATATCACTTGACTTTCACATTGTCTCTATAACACCTACATCAGTACTTGAATATATAGTTCTTTAGATATGTTGTTCTTTGTGTGAAGTTATAATGTAGTCATCTCGCTTCATCTTTCGATCCTTATGTTGTACTTAAGTATATAGTTTTGTAGATGGTTGTAACAGGTGATCCCGTTTATTGACATGTATCCTATTTTGAGGCCTGTTGTGACTAGCAACAGTAGGCTTGATGCCATTGGACACCGATCTTTTATCTGACGTAAAAATTTAGTTTGTGCTTACGTTTTCTTTTAGTTCATGCAATTTAATGTGACAAACTTTGTCTAGTGACGGTGTTATAATAGACAAGACAAATGAATTATGAAATTAAATTATATTGATTTTAATTTAATTGAAAATCATGCTCTATTTAATTAATAATCTTTAATATTTTATTTTTAATATTACTAATTACTATAATCAATTGTCTGCAGATTTAGATTTATCTAATCTTCCTTAATTAGTAATCTTCTCAAACTTGTCATTTTTCGTTGTTCTATTCTTTCTTGATTTTTAAAGCCTCACACTTGCATTCAATCTCAATAGTCTTTACCAGATTTTTCCTTGCGTTAGCTTTGTCTAAGCGCAAGGTAAATATTGTTAGGCATGTAACAACCTCAATCAATGCAGTTTTTTGCAAGTAGGGCAGTACGGTCTTATAATTTTGACAATTTAGTACATTGAAAGGGACAAAGCGTTTAGTTTGCTAACTTAATCCCCCCTCTCACACATATAGATACACACGTTACACACTCAAGTATAAATAATCTCTATATATGCACACTACAATCCCTGATATATTTTGTTAGGAGTATAGTCATTAAAATACTTAAAATTCTTAAACCTGATTTTAAGAAAAGTAATTTAGTCATGTCTTATGTTTTTAATCATCAAGAATAATCCCATTTTGAAAGTTTAAATTTTAGATTTTTATAATGAGTTTATTACTCGAAATATTACACGCATAAATCAAATTTAAAAAAATTGTGCTACTAATATTAATTTTAATCAATTCCAAGTTTAGTGCTGCGCCGCAGCCACTTTCGAATATAAAATTAACTGGGTATACTTTATCACGAGCCCTGTTGTTATACCCAAATCAAATTGAAAATATAGTTGCTGGAATAAAATTAATATACTGAAATTTGGTTGAAGCCATATAAACACTATTTGCAATTCAGAAACATACATTTCCTAACCACTTTAAGTGCAGCCACTATAAAGGTAACAATTTCTTTACAAGCTCGTATGCTAGATCGATGAGAAAATAACACTATCCTTGTTCACTTGTTAATTTGAATCTAGTTCACCAAGGTGTAGATAAAGCAACAACTGACCTCCAGCACCAGCCACTCCCAAGGCACTTCTCGAATCATCGGTACCAACACATGTTGCGTTGCCATCTAACACCAAAGAGTTGTATTTTAAAAAAAGTTGAAAAAGAAAAGTTTATAAATATCTTTTTCAGAAACAAAAAATAAATACAAAACCAGTCAACTTTTTTAACTATATCATTGAAACCATATCTTAAACATGAAACCTCAAAATGGCATTACACAGTACATGAAACCAAATTATTCAGTTCAGATTATTAGAAGCAAGAACTGTAAGAAATGACCTAGGATAAGCCAAGGTGTAGAAAAATGTAAAACATCCTATTCAAAACTATCCCAGTCGTAACATGACGAAGCCCAAAAATTTGCTTAAATTTGGGGGTTGAATGGAAAGGGAAAGAACGGGAATAGGTTGGGTAGATATGTTGGATGAAGGGTTCGCGTGTGAGGAGTCAACAACTTTGGATCATAGTTATCAATTTCTGATAGTGTCTTCCCGCGACCGAGCATAAAACCACTTTAGAGCTATAGCCGCTATAGCGAAGTTGAGGTGTTGTCTCAGTGGATGATGCCATGACAACACTGAACGGAGAAACAAAGTGCAAACTGATGCACTGAGGCAGAAACACAAGAATAGTGCAGGACGGGTTAGAACTGAACAGAGCAGGACCAGAGTGAATAGGTGAGGACAAGTCAAAACTGAACAGAGTAGGTCGAGACTTGCGGAACCAGGACACAGTGGCCGAAAAACCGCCAATAAGCAGTGGGGTTGACGGAACAGACGAGAGAGTGAGAGCAGAGACCGTATGAGAGAGAGACAGAGAGGTATCTCCAATGTAGGGTTCATAAATTCATAAGAGAGATTAGTTATAAGAAGAAGAGAGAGTTTAGAGTGAGAGAGAAGATGAGAGATATTTCCAGCAATTTTCTGCATTTTCTATTCCACCCCTCTTGGGCTATATAGTGCATTGATTACATTTCTATTCTCATTTTCTCATAACAAATAGCAATAGAAATTATAAAAGACATTTATTACTAAAAGGCCGTCACTACTCATTGTGAGTAGTCCAGTAAATATGTGGGCTTCTTAATAACACGTCTGGGCCTCAGGGTATTGCTTTGGGCTGCAACAACCCCCCCCCCCCCCCCCCCCATCGAAAGAGACCTCGTCCACGAGGTGAGGTGAGGTGAGTCAGAAGTCACGTGCAAGTGTTGGACCGTTGGAACCAGCTTATGAGATGGGGATAAGGGAACAGGTGGAAGCATGTGAGTGGTTGGTGAGGAGATAAGAATCTCTGAGGGAAGCATGTTATTGGGTGAGCTGTCGGTGGCATGGGAAGTGTCTACATCCGTCAGAAGTGGTTGAGTGTCTTCAATGTGGTTCTCATTACTTTCCTTAGGGACTGTCTTTTGTAGTTGAGTCCTCTAGTCGACCAAAAGGAGGTGTCTTTGAAATGGAGGCATGGGAGATGAAAAACTCATCCTCCCAGGTTGAAGCTTCGGGTGGCAGATCATGCCATTGTACCAAGGCCTGAGGAATATGTCGTCCCTGTCTCCAAACGACACGTCGAGCAACAATGGCTGCCGGTGTATGGACCGGAGCTGGCCGTTGTAGATCGAGTGGCCAAGCATGAATCGAGTAGTTTTCGGTGGGTACAAACGGACGCAAAAGGGAGACATGGAAGACGGGGTGGATGCGAGATCCTGCAAGGCGATAAGCCACAGAACCAATCTTCTCCAAAATTTCAAAGGGTCCAAAGAATCGCAAACTGAGTTTGCTGGAGGAGCGACGGTGAACAGCCAACTGTCTAAAAGGTTGAAGGCGCAGAAGCACGCGGTCTCCCACTTGAAAGGTCAAATCTTTGCGTTTGCGGTCTGCATGTGCTTTCATTAACAGTTGAGCTTTTTTTAAATTGTTTTTTAATGTTGTCAGAAGCATGGAGCGCTGCTGGAGGTCAGAATCGACTGCTTCCAAAGAAGTAGTACCCATGGTATATTCCAGAAGGCACGGTGGGGAGCGGCCATAAGTTGCCTGGAATGGTGAAAAGCCTGTGGAACGATTATGGGCGGTATTGTAGTGAAATTCGTCTCAGCTCAAGTAGCGGTGCCAGACAGAGGGTTGGTCATGCACAAAGCAACGCAGGTATTGCTCTAAAACGCGATTTATTCTTTCGGTTTGCCCATCTGATTGGGGGTGATAGGCGGAACTGAAGTGTAACACAGTACCATGGAGTGTGAACAGAGTTTTCCAAAACTCGCTCATAAAAATGGGGTCTCTATCTGAGACAATGGACTTGGGTGGGCCGTGGAGTTTGCCGATGTTATCCCAGAAAACTTGGGTCACTTTGGGTGCTGAGTATTTAGGGGGAAGGGGAACAAAATGGGCCCCTTTCATGAGTCTGTCGACCACCACGAGAATGGCTGTAAAACTAGCAGAGGAAGGGAGGTGGGTAATGAAATCCATGGATAAATCGGACCAAATATCATGGGGAATGGGTAAGGGTTGTAAGAGGCCATATGGGTAATGGTTAGCTGGTTTTGATTTCTGGCAAATGTCACATTGTTGGACAAACTGTTGAATGTCTCTTTTCATATTTTTCCAGGTGAATTTGGCACCAATACGGAGGAGGGTGCGACGGACGCCAGCATGCCCACCGATTTTTGAGGAATGGAATTCAAGCAACAGTAGAGGGATGGCGAACATTGGCACCATGTGATGTAAGCTCTGATGATCAGTCTTAATAACAAAAGAAGTGCCAAGCAAATATTGGCACCACTTAGCCACAGCAGACGTGATGGCGAACATTTCTCTGAAATAGGTAGATTTTGCTTGCATAAGGTTGGACAATTTGCGACTAAAAAACGCAATAGGATGCCCCTCCTGTAATAGGACCGCCCCTACTCCCACGCCTGAGGCATCAGCTTCCAGTATAAATGGGAGGTGAAAATTTGGTAAAGCTAAAATCGGAGCAGTAGTAAGCATGTGTTTAAGGGCAGTAAAAGCCTGATCGGCTGCTGTGGTCCATATAAAGGCATCTTTGGACAGTAGGGGGGCAGCAATCATAGCGTAGCCTTTAATGAAACGACGATAATATCCGGAGAGGCCAAGAAAAGTCCGTAGTTCAGTGACGGTTGTAGGAATGGCCCAATCACGAACCGTTTGAACCTTAGACTGGTCAGGGGACACCCCCTCAGCCGAAATAATATGCCCTAGGAATTGAACTTCCTGCACAGCAAAGGAACATTTAGTAAGCTTAGCAAAAAATGTATGAAGCCGTAATGTTTGCAGTACTTGCAGCAAGTGGTCCACATGAGCCTCGAGGTTAGGACTGTAAACAAGTATGTCATCAAAAAATATGACAACAAATCGGCGTAAGAAACGTGAGAAAATATGGTTCATAGTAGCCTGGAAAGTGGACGGGGCATTAGACAGCCCAAAGGGCATTACTAAGAACTCAAAATGTCCACTATGAGTGCGGAATGCTGTCTTGTGGACGTCACAGGGTTGCATCAGAATTTGGTGATAGCCAGAGCGCAAATCGAGCTTGGAAAAGACTCGAGCTCCATGTAATTCATCCAGAAGTTCGTCCACTTTTGGGATAGGGAACTTATCTGGAACAGTAATGGCATTAAGGGCACGATAGTCCACACAAAAGCGCCATGTGCCATCCTTTTTGCGAACCAAGAGAACTGGGGAACTATATGGGTGAATGGCTAGGTTGAATAATACCAGATTCTAACATTTCACCCACCATCTTTTCAATCTCAGCCTTCTGGAAGTGGGGGTACCGGTAAGGCCTCACCTGTATGGATTTAGAGGAAGGAAATAGGTTAATAGTGTGGTTGGTTTGTCTATTAGGGGGTAGGGAGGTGGGTTCGTGAAATACATCCTGGAATTGGTGAAGAAGGCCTTGGATGGGTGGAGGTAATGGAATTGGGCATACAAGTGTTGTAGGTTGGTAGCTAATATTACTAGTTAGACACATAAAATAGGAGGAAATCGAATCATGGGTCACTAGTTTCTGTAACTGGGCTGCAGATAGAGGGCTGGGAGCAATAGTAAGATCCCCTTGGAGAATGATAGGTGAACCCTCATAGGTGAAAGACATTGTCATCAACAAATAATCGGTGAGGATAGGTCCTAAAGTAGACAGCCATTGGACCTCTAATACGATATCAGCACCCTTGAGTTCCAGAACAAACAAGGCAGTGGAAAACACATGAGATTGGAGAGTAAGTGTGACAGCAGAACAGTAAGCAACACACTGCAAGGAGTCACCGTTGCCAACCTGGACCAGGAAGGAAGTTAGGTTGAGGAACTTGGCCATACCTTCGGTTATGAAATTGTGGGTACTACCCCCATCAATCAAAACCTGTAATGATTTGCCCTTGATAGTGCCTGAAAGTCGGAAAGAGCGTGAACTTCTATTACCAAAGAGAGCATTGAAGCTGATTTATGGGGAAGGCTCTTCAGTAACTATAGCGTCAGTCAGCTTTGGTAAATCAGTGTCAATAGTGTCATCAGTGCCCTACATATATAACAGGGCACCACGACCTTTGCACTTATGGCCGAAGGAATACTTTTCATCACATGTATAGCATAAATTTTTTTCACGTTTTACTTGCATTTTTGCTGGGGACATCAAGCTTGATCTGGCGCGATCGAGGTGTGTCACGGCCAGGAGCAGAGCTACCGGAGGGACCAGAACCTAATAAACCACGATTATCAGGAGAAGACTGCTGTAAATCAAGCAAGCGTTGCAGATCTTGATGAATCCGATCTTGGAATGCCTGCATTTGTTGTTGGGATTCCAATAATTGGAATGGGATTCATGTAAAGTCAAATATTGTTGTTCCCTGACTAGATCGGCAGATCGAAATTGCTGCTCTAGAGTGTCAAGGCGTTGCTGTAAGTCGCGCGAACGAGTATTTTCCGCCATTAAAAGGAAGGTTGAGGATCGATGAAAGCACCAACTGTAGGGTTCATAAATTCAGAAGAGAGATTAGTTATAAGAAGAAGAGAGAGTTTAGAGTGAGAGAGAAGATGAGAGATATTTCCAGCAATTTTCTGTATTTTCTATTCCACCCCTCTTGGGCTATATAGTGCATTGATTACATTTCTATTCCCATTTTCTCATAACAAATAGCAACAGAAATTATAAAAGACATTTATTACTAAAAGGCCGTCACTACTCATTGTGAGTAGTCCAGTAAATATGTGGTCTTCTTAATAACACGTCTGGGCCTCAGGGTATTGCTTTGGGCTGCAACATCCAAGCTCAAGAATTTCAATAGCGTTTTGCGATACTGAAGATGGGCGTAAGGTTAAGGGGTGGAAAATTTGATTTTGTCCTTGAAGTTATTGTTGGGACAATGGGTAGGTCAAGGCAAAGATGGGTTTTTACCTTGCCTTCGAAGGAGAGGCGCTATAGCCCGTTATTTTCCGCGATTTTGGCCCACTACGACCGCTACACAAATATCACAATAGTGGAATGGTGGCGCTATCCGCCATAGTGATGTAATGAGCACTATGATAACTACGCTTTGGTTAGAAATATGGCTGGCTCAATTTGCTAGCCCAATATTGCAGCCAAATATCAAATGTCCATTTTACCCCAGCTATATTATCTCATACCTGCTACAATAGGGCTGACATACAGACATCCTAACATTGGACACCAAAGTGCCTTACGTTGGGATATGCTCTCTCACCCTTTTCTTACACAGTTGCCGTTGTAGTGCTAACAGCAACTGTTAGTTAGACTGATATGGCTCTTCCCCGTAATTGTTGACTTTGCTCACTTTCCCACATGAATGGAGCCTAACCCTAACTATAAATGCCTCTTCCCCCTTCACTAAAAGCACACGATATCTACCATTTACATGAGCTGTTTATCTGCCCACTTTGAGAGCCATAGCAGCCGTTCAACACCTCCCCTCATTGTTACATATAACACCTGGGAACCTTTTACATAGCCTTGGTCTATATCATTGATGTCAAGGACACCCCTACAGTTATATAATACACCCCTAGGGATTACATACATGGCTCTTACTTTACTAACAGTTCATGGCGCCGTCTGTGGAAAACGATAAATTCTTATTCTCATATCCTTACCAGAAATTCTAGGAAAGCTAGAAACTCTATTTTCTCCCAATTTAACCACCTACAAAATGATCCAAATCAAAAGAACAAATCAACCAAGGGAAACTACCCCAGAAGGCCGCATTCAAACCTTGCATGAAGACTTCGTCCCTTCAGTTCCCTCTATACTAGCTCCCTCAGCTGCACCACCTCCAGACAGACCGGCCATGGTCGCGCCTGCTGTTTTGGACCCAACTACCCAAATCATGATTAAAGAAACGAGGAAGGAGATACTCTACCTCCCCCAATAGATCCACCAAGAACAGTGTAAGCCGAAAATGTGGGACTAGTCCAACCAACCCTAGCCCAACCTCATTTTGGAATGCCCCAAGAAGTACCCATCACCCAAACAGTACCATCGGTCAGTCCCACAATATCGATCGAAAATAAAATCGTCCTGCAACAACACAACCATCACATCATCGTCCCAAATCCTCACGCCTTGCCAATGGCTATTGTACCTCGCCCAAATCCTGTCCAGGCTTATCCATTGCCTCTCCTTGCACCTCAAGTCGTAGCCACTTTGCCACAACTTCATGTCCCGCTTGCAGTAGCCCCACAAATTGCCACAGCTCCTCACCCCGGTCAGGCAATACCAATTCATCAACACATCGTCCCACCTCAAGTCTCCTGCATAATGTCAGCCGCCCAGTAGCAACCAAACAATTATGCGACCACACTAGCGCCCTCTTATTCAGCCTATAATAAGGTTCAGCAGCACGAGAATCCCCACCACCAAGTGGCGAGACAACAGGCCCACCAGCACACATCCTCGAACCCTTCAAGGCGCAATAGGCCCCCGACCGATTTGCTGCGTCTTAACCATATACTGCTCAGTTTCATGGGATCCACCAATATTCCCACCTACATTGGAGATGCTGATCCCTTCGACTGGGTCCAGAAGTTTGAAGCAGCGATGACCTTACATGGAAAAACTAACCTCCTCATGTGAAGAACCTTCCCCACCCTCTTGGGTGGAAGAGCACTTAGCTGGTATATGAACTTACCGACCGGCCGACCGGATGCATATCTTCATAGGATGACCTGGCAAACAAGTTCCAGACTCGGTTCTCCACAAGTCGATCGATTCCCAAGTCAGTACACTCACTCCAAAAGATACGCCAACAGCCCAGAGAATATCTCAGGTCTTACCTTGATCGTTTTGACAAAGAAGCATTGTTGGTTAAATGTCTCGAACCTAAAGATGAAGTCCATATCCTCTTGTACGGCCTACGACAAGGAGCTTTTGCTTACGAGTTAGCCCGATATGAGGTGACAGAAATTGAAGAGGTTAAAAAAAAGCCCAAGAGTTCATGAGGATAGAGGAGTACAAGGGCAGCAGATCCGATGGAAGTTCCAGGCGAGAGAAGAAGCCCGACAAAAATAAAAAAACCAACCGAAGATGAAGATAAAAAATCCCACAAGCTCCCAAGCAAAAATACCAGCCATACCACCTCTCGAACAACCCGCCCCGCATCTTCTGAGAAGTAATGCAAACCAAACGGCAAGACATTTGAAGACCACCGCCTAAAAGCCTGAAGCACCAAGAGAACCTCCCAAGTTTTGCAAGTTGCACAAAAGCCACACCATTCAACTGAAGAGTGTCAGGTCCTCAAAGAGGAAATTGAAGACTTGATTCAAGAAGGCACATCCAAGAGATATGGAGGAACCAACCAAAAGGACAACTGATGCAAAGAGCATGATAAAAATAGGCACTTCAGATCCGACTGAAGTCCATCCCCGGACAACGGGAGAAGAAGACAAACTGAGCACATACGCCACAAAGGCAACAGAGAAAAGGAGACGACCTCGAGGTCTCAGAAAGAATATAAGAAAACTACAAGCAAAGGCAGCCAAGAAAGTGAAGGTTCAGCCATAATCAGGCACGGGCTGATAAACATGATCTATGGAGGACTGGGCGGTGGAGGAGAAACCACTAACGCCAGGAAAAGACACCTAAAGCAATGTTTGGCGGTCGCGGGAAGACCGATCACCAAAGTCAAAGACCCCAAGCAGCCCAAGAAGCCAAAAGTTGTGTGGGACGAGGACGAAATCAAAGGAGTAATTCCCAGGCATCATGACCCACTTGTCATCCCAACGGTAATTGCCAACTACGGTGTTAGCAGGGTGTTTGTAGATCACTGAACAGCTTGATATGATCGAGCTTCGATTGTCCCTTGGAACACCAAAGTGCCCTACGTTGGGATATGCTCCCTCTCCCTTTTCATGCACAGCAGTCGCTGCAGTGCGGACAGCAACAGCTAAGTGCCTTGCCCCAGCAAGGCCAAGCTGATATGGCTCTTCCCCATAACTGTCGATTTTGCCACTGTTCTGCATGGATGGAGTCTAACCCTAACTATAAACACCTCTTCCCCCTTCACTAAAAACACACGATATCTACCATTTACATGAGCTATTACTTTGCCCACTTTGTGAGCCATAGCAGCCGTTCGACACCTCCCCTCATTTTTACACATAGCACCTGGGAACCCTTTGCATAGCCTTTGTCTATACCATTGCTGTCAAGGACACCCATATAGTGATATAATACACCCCTAGGGGTTAATATGTGGCTCTTACTTCTCTAACAGTTCAATCAGAATTCTAATCATAAGTTGAAAGAATAAAAGATATTTTCTGAATATACTTCACCAAATTCTGTCAAAATTATATAGAGAACCAACATTTATAGGCCAAATGTGTATATAGAATAGATTGGACGCTTGAGTGGCTTAATTACATTTGACTAACTTTTGAACTACACTTGATACTAAGAACCCCTAATTACAAGATTGATACCAATGACTCTAGACTCAACTAGAAATACTTAACTGACACATAAAGAAGGTTTATTTATTCATTATCACTAATGCACAGTTCAAAACGTTGGATTATATGTGTCCAAAAATAAAAAGTTGGATTACATATCCTGATGTAAACATTATAACCAACATTATAAACATGATTATTAGTCTAGCATCTAGTAATCATGTATGTACTTCCTCAATTCATGTATATCTAGTCCTTTTTCCACCAGTGGAGCATGTTGACCTTTATTATGTATGTTATATCATCAGGGTAATGATACATCAACCCACTAGTTCTTTTTACGAGGCACAAACGGGAGAAATTTTACTAGAAGCAGAAGAACTCCCATTTTGTAGCTGCAGCACAGCTACTTATTTATGTGGGAGCTATAAACGTTCGCAGTAGAGTTTAACTACCAAGTTCGGGATGGATTGAGATATATAAAAACCATTAATGTAGTCTCATCTAACAACTTAAGCTTTTGGGTTGAATTGGTAATTTACATAGTATCAGAGCCTCGGTGTACCGAATTCGATCATCACCGCCCCCCACTTTCTTTCTAATGGAATTTTTTTCTTCGCACAGGTAGGTGGGCCTGTGCATTGTCCACCATTCAAGCCTAGTAGCTTCATCCAACAGCTTAAGCTTTTGGGTTGAATTGATTATTTGCAGATCATACAGCTTAACTGGTATCTCTCTCTTTATCAAGGAGTTTTGGTTATGTGGAGCGATTCAATCCTCCACATCCTCATTTACCATTCACCCTTTAGGTCCAATATAACCTCCCTAGAATCCCACCTCAAAAGGGAATGGTGATTATTGATTCCTATGTCCATGGAATCAAATCCTTAAGAAGTATTATCCTTATCTGCCACTCTTACTGTCAAACTATGAAATCCTGAGTATCCTGCTGTAGTGGCTGGAACAGGATTGCCATTCCAACTACTAAACATGCCCTAAAGAAAATGTAAAAGGTTGTTCTGAGGATATATATCCTATTGTCATTATTGCTTTACAACTCAAGTGAAACTTTAAGTGTTGGCATGGCCTACATTAATGTAGAAAAGGAATTGTAACACCAAAAATGTTCCTGGTTACAAGGAAAGCACGCTAGAAACATGAGATCAAAGCATAAACTCAACAATTCAATTGAAGGTACATTTTGATCATGTACCATGGACAACTCTAGTGCACTTAAAATCAACAACACCTTTATCCTAAATTAGTTGGGGTCGTGGTAGATGAACTCAAATAAAAAGTACGAAAAGATTGAAAAAAAAAATTAAAAAATAACTCTGCCTATGTGTGCTTGCATGCATGGCCTGTCCCAAGCCAGGTTAAAGGAAGAGAGTTGGTGTCAGGTATAATGAGTCGGCCGGAAAAAAAAAATAGCTATATGGATGAGATGAACCCTTATGGACAACTCTAGTGCACTACGTTAAAAAATTTGCAAGTTAAAGCTATCAGTATCACTAGTGCTTCTGCATTAGTTGTCAGTGCACAGAGACCAGAACATATAAGTGAAAGTGGCATATTGCAACATACCTTGGAAATGATGCAGAGTACCAAGCTTGGATCCTCTGGACAATTCCCACAAATACACCGCACCATTATTGGTACTGATGATTCCATATCTACCTAATACACCAATACCAGTAGTCCTGCACGGAGTTAATACGATTGAAAACTGTCAATTAAATGATAAATGTACAGGCTAGAATGAGCAATTACTCATCAGCTCTGAAATAGTATTAAAATGATTCTCAAATACTATAAAAATGATATATCAGCAGCAGCTTTTCAGATGCAATTTCTCATATTTATGTCACTCAAATGATATAAATTAATGGCTTATAATATCTCCTTATGATCTCCATAATTAATCCTAGATTTGTATGGCAGCAGCTGCCCTCACAAATGACTGATAAACTATTGATTGAGGACAGTAGGGCATGAGATTTTAATCATGATCTAAAATCCAGTTCAAGCTGTTCTTAACTCACTGTACATCAGAAACATTGAAAACAAAAATAGATGGGAAGTATAAATTCCCTCCACTTTATTGGCAGTGAACAACAGTAAAGAAGTTAACAAAATTAAGCTACACATGACGGACTAGATTCAAACTCAGAAAAACTTCATAGTACCTTGGATCCAAGAGACTTCCAAAAACTAGGCTATTTTTCACACAAAGGGCTAGCCTCCAACTTCTGGTTGTATGTATATCACAATGAGTGGTAGTTGAAACATGATTATGATCACAATCAAGGTCAGAAGCAGTCGAGATTAGAAGCCACATAGCAACGTTTCCTTCCTCTGACGAACAGGTCTCTCTTTGCTCTGAGTACAACAAATTGGTTGCTTCTAAAAGTTTTTCAGCCTGCTCCTCTATGCCAACATAGTTGAATCCTGAGCCTCTTGTTTGCCAATGGAACAAGCTTATTGGAAAGAACTCATCAATTGGATTTTTTAAAGCAGAGAAGCTTGAAACACGATTGAGCTTTGCAATATCCCTGAGGAAAGTGTTGAAAATAATGTTGATGAGATATTACTGTAACTTAATAATCAGATTAAAAGTTAGTTACTCTTTTCCAAAAGTGATTACTTCTTCCTTCCCCTTCCTATTTTTTACACAGCTGGGTTAGGTCAGAGGTTATTTTGAATAAGAAATAGGAATAGAGGTTGAGATGATAGCATCAAAATATAGCAGAAAAGCCAGCAGTAACATTTCCTAACTTCTGGAAAAGATAAAGCACAGGTTAGAAAACTCAGATTGTTCAAGATTTACAAACGGAAAAAGGGGTGATATACAGTGACTTGTATAAAATAGATAATAAGACGCAATAAAAGAATTCACTGATGATCTACATGTTAATAACTACAACTTAAAAAAATTATACTACTAAGGACAAAAATGCAAGTGCTTTGATAATACATTTCAGACAAATGTGTGTGTGTATACATAAACCTCCAATTCATTCCTAAGAAGTTTGGCAGTAGATACATTAGTCCTTGAAAATGTAAAAACCTTCGTTGTCAAAGACTGATGTGCCTAGTGCCTAAGGACGAATTTAGGAGCTTAATATATATATACATATAACTTCTTCAAGGTAATTCAAGACAACATACCATAAACTAAACTCCCCAGAACTATTACGGCCAACAACCAAATGAGCACACTTTGGAACCTTCTTCAACTCCACAATGTCAGGGGATATGGAGCCATCAGCTGGAATAATGAAGTACTCCATTTTTTCACTGCCAAAAAGTGAATAAAGGGGTGAAGAAGCAAAGTTGTCTGTTCCACAATCAAAAAATATATATTTAATAACACTAGCAACAAAATCAACAATATTTATAATACATTGAAGATAGATAATACAGTATATTATTGACCAACAGTAGGAATAAATTTTACAATTACAAAGGTATACTCATCAAATATCTTGGCATTTTCTCTTCTGGAAAAGAAGTCCGTAAAACCAATGGGAGAACCCAAGTCTTAGACTTAACTTCAATAAAATTTGGGAAGCTTTTTAACTTCAAAAATTAGTCATAGTATCATCGTAACACAGTTCTCCTAATATTCTTATGAGATTTGCTATTTATTAAAACACAAGAACCTCATAATCATATCCCCTCTCTGCTACAAATGCAAACATACAAGAAATCAACACGAAAGTTAATCAGTACAATAAATGGATCCGCGGGGGAAGTAAGAGCAAATAGAGCTGTATTAAAATCACCTCCATGTTGAATTCATGACCCACACTTCCAGTCTCCCACTCTCTCCAACAGAAACAAGTCGGTTAGGTTCACAAACCAATATACAATGCACATTGTCAACAGTTTCTAGTGTTGCTACCACTGATACATAACCATGTTCTACTTGGACAATCTTCAAAGCATTCCTCTCAGAAAAGACTGATGTACATGTTGAGCAATAACAATCAATTTTTTGTTCCCTGGGATAAAATAGTTATTCTAATTAACGTTGTTTCAATGTATTACATATCAATTCAAGGCTGTAGAAAGTAGAAACAGTTAACCTGCAATTAGGGGTTTTTATGCTGCCTATTAAGACAATATACTGTCCATCAGGAGTTAACTGCACACCAGATCTTTCCACCACAGTCTAGCATACGATACAATAGATTTTGAAAGTGAGCATTTATGTAGCCAAAAGGTGAGTGTAAATAACGAAGGAGGAGGTTGAAAATGAACAAAGAAAGTGACTTACTTCTCTTATTAAATTATGTTTTAGATCTGGCAACAGTATTGAGGTGTAAGCCATGACAGAAGGGCACCCTAAGCTTGGTTCCTTAATAGCTACCTTGTAAGTAAAGAGGGTCCTACACTCATCCATCAGAAGCCCACATAAAACACAAATGTGGATTTCATCCTCTCTTGTGCTTAAAAATAATGAAGTAACGGGCATTGGGTGTAAGTAGCACCCCACAAACTTTACATTGCTGCCCAAATTATTCTGGATCTCCTGGTTTCTGTGGGGCATTGGTTCCGAAATAAATTGAGCCTCCTTGGGCCCAGAGCACTTATTTTCACAGGTAAACAGGTTTGGATTCTGAGATGATGTTGGTTTTAGTTCCACAAGGTTGCTATGTCCATCCAGAACATCAGTATGAGTTTGAGGTGTTAACAGGTTTGGATTCTGAGATGTTGTTGGGTTAAGTGTCACAAGGTTGCTATGTCCACCAAGAACATCATTATGATTTTGAGGTGTTTCTACACAGAAACCTGCCGAATGGTCTGGTTCACATGGTTTATCTTTTGAATTGTTTCTTTGAATGGTTTCTGAGCGAGGCACCATGCCCTTGGCAGTAGGCGTTTCAGCAGTAACAAGTTCAAAATTCTCACATTCAGTATTCTCCATAACCGAACAATCTCTTTGGAGGGGAACACCATTTCGGAGTTTTCTTCTGGTGTATACTAAATTTGGCAGTTGAGAAGACATCATCATTGTTTCAACATTGTCTGTTTTACCCACAACTTCTTCATCTTGTGTCTTTTCTGCAAGGGTTTCCATACTTTTCAAATGACAGCTCTTTGTTTTTACACCTGAGAAAGAATTATTAACACCTTCATTATTTTATAGAAATTGTAAGAAATTTTAACGATAGGATCAGACTGAAACAATTCAATTAAGCCTCATTCTCGGATCACTAAGCTTCAATTCTTGACTTGATACCATAATAAGCTAATAGTTTGCTGCAACCATGACAAGTTGGATTGACACATGATTGAGTTGACAGTGACTTAACATGTATCTCAGTTCAAGACAGACAGAAGAATTATATAACGATGTCAGTTAAACCCTTCTGACCATGTTTATCTACATTTTAGATTTTTTTTTATTGATGCCAGATATCATAAACACATTACCTGCAGTAAAATCCTGAGCAGTCGATGGGTCCTTTTGCAGAGAATTGAAACCAGTATGCACTGGATTTTCTTTCAAATCTGAGCAATCATAATTGCTTCTTTCAGAAATATTCCTATCCTTAGGAGAGATGTCATCTAGAACAGATTCAGGAATCCGTGCATCACACTCCTGAGGCCTGTCTTTAAAGTCCAACTCTGAAGCATGGCATGTGGATGATCCATGTGGCAAATCACAAACAGGAATATGTTCTTGACTTCTCAGAGAACACATTTCTTTATTGAAATTAGATCTACGAGCTTCAGCAATAACAGAAGATAAGATTCCCTGATTGATTTTTAGATCCTCACATTGACTATAATCAAAACTGTCAGGAACAATAGACTTCATATGTTCAGAATTAGGAGTATTTGAACATGGGTCTGAATTTGGCCCATGTATCGCTATTCCTTGTTCCCCACGTGCATTCTCTGTCAGCAGTACATCTGCCATATAAACATATGTTTCAATAATGCACATGAATACACAAACACACAAACAAAGGGAAGATTTAAAGGATAACACACTAAATCAAAAATTCTGGTGGCATCATGTATTTGTCTCTGCCAGATATTAATTACAAATAATCAGAAAAAATAGCATAGGTAGGCATATTTACCGGATGATGGTACATCAAAAATATATCCAACTCCATTTTGTTCTTCCTTAGAGCTCACCCTAGAGGGAAAAATATCTGAAGGGCTAACAGTAAACTCCTTATCTGTTGAAACATTCCTCAGTAAAGGAACTGCTTGAGGAAGCAGAAGTGACATCATTGACTTTGCCACATCCTGGCCTACTGAATCAGAATCACTTTTCTCAGAGCTTCGATTTGAATTAGATTTGAGCACTTCATGTTCTGCATTTAACAAATCTCCAGAGGTGATCTCACATGCTATCACACTATAAGCATTCTTATCCAGTTTACTTGGGGCAGAATCAGAAGTATCTTCTGCAATGCAATAGATCAAGTGATTAGGAATCAACAGGAAAATGGAGAAGTTAACATAGAAATATGTGAGGGAAACTAGATATTGAAGGAGACAATGTTCAATAACACAAAATGGATATTAATAAATTGAAAAATCCTATAACATACTGATAAATAAATGGGTTTTGTAGAGTTCTTGATAAACCTTTAATTTATCTTGTTTTAAGGACTAAATTCATATGAAATACCTAGTTAAATGCAAGAAAATTAGGGTTTATTAGTGTAAAAACATGAACTATTGAAATATGAAGTAAACAATTGTCTTTTGCTTGATTTGAAGGTGAATGATGTTAAATGAAAGCAAATATGAAGCTTAAAGACTTAGAGATCAAGATCTTGAAGATCATGAAGATTCCAAGTGCAAATAGAAGAAATTGTAGTTCTTGAAGAGGAGGCTTAAGCTCCCAATTTACTAAAGTTTCTGTATGAGAGAGCTTAAGCACCCAAAACAGGGCTTAAGCTCGCTACCAAGTAAAAAGTTCCTCTTCGAAGAGAGGTCTTAAGTTCCCAAAACGGGGCTTAAACGCCTCATACAAATCTGCACTACTTTCCCAGAGGGCTTAAGCACCCAAATGGGGGCCTAAGCGCCCAACATGGTCCAACTTAGGCCCAATTGAATAATTCCACTAAGGGCACAGATTCTTCACATATAAAAGGGCAAATTGAAACAAAATTCATAAGAATATAATCAAGGAAGCAGAGAAGAAGCAGACAAAACATATAGTTCATGTTCTTGAGAGTCAGAGACGGATCAGGATCAAGTTTGCACTGGAAATATTGAAGATTCACCATACGACTATGGAGTTTGGGGAAGATTTCTTATTTTCTTTCATCTTTGATTATGTAATGTCAGGCTAAATCTTTATAGTAGTTAGGATTAGATGGAACTCAAATTATCTATTATGTTTTGAATAACTCTATGTTAATTTTCCTTTTTATCATGAATGAAATTATCTTTTCTTAATGCTTTCTATGAGCTTGTATCTTGTAGACTGATATTAGGTAAATGTATGGCAATAGGAATGTTGGTGTAAGATCCGTACATGGTAATTTCATCGTAATCTTTATGATTCTAGGAATAGAAATAGGGTTTTACGCAATCTTGTGATTCTTGAACGTAATGCTTATTTTCTTGGGGAATAATCGGGAAACTAGGGTTCTTGCAAGATTATAAAGAATTAGGTTATCAAGGGATTGAATCCTAATTAAATTAAAAGAATCGATTCGATTGATATTAAGAACGATTAATCTAAAGAGTGAATTCAAACATAATAGAGAAGTTGAGGGAAGTCGAAACCCTAGCTACGTTTCTTTTCTGTCAAGTAATCAAAACCTTAACGTTCTTTTTTTTTATTCTTGTTCTTATTTTAATTAGTTTTAATATTCTGAATCTAAATCAATTCTTGTTACAAATTTATAATCGATAGTCCAACTTAAGTAGAAGTAGTGAATTAGTGATTGAATTATAATTCTCGTGGGAACGATCTCGTACTCAGTACATTATATTACTTGTACGACCGATGCATTTTCCGAGTCCGCAACAGTTCTTTTACAAAACTGTGTCATGTGGGAACTAAATTAGAAGATTTTAAGAATATTGTATATGGGACATTGGGACCCAACATTAGTGCAACCCACATATTTCATATCTCTATATTTGACATTATCACAAGACACTTCATGTCTTCATTATTCTGTAAAGAACAATATTCAATATTGCAAAAGCTATCGAGCAGTATCACCAGCAAGCCTTTAAGAGCCCAAATTCGAAAATTTCAAAAGTAAATATAAATCCCAAAAATTATATCAAAATCGAATAACCATGTCCAATATCTAAGCCAAAAAAAAATAAATCTTTCAACCCATCAATAAATGAGCAAGACGAAGCAGGTGTTGAAAATTATTCAAGTGAAAAATAATAGTTTTTACAGTAAAACAAAAATATAAGTACCTTCCACAAAATCTAGGGTATCAGGAGCACAAAGATCAATGTCAATACAACCTTGAGACTCTTTGGAACGTGACTGCATCAGTTTTTGGTCTTCTGATGACACCAACAAACGAGGCAACTTCAACTCCACATCATGTGACTTATGAAGCTGCAAGAAGTTATGAGTTTTTCTTCTATTAAAAATTAAACCATAAAAATTTCATTAAAGCAGAAATTTCTGCAAAATTTTAATTGAAATATCTCAAGAAGCATGAGATAGCAATAAATCACTTCTAAGTTTTTTGTCCTTTTCCCTCTACGATTATCAACATCTTCACAATTTAGGAATGAACATGTTTCCAATGAATAACATTCAACAGATTACATTATGTGAAGCAACATGCTTCCAATGAATAATGTTCAATACAATGCTAAAAATTCAAATGGATGCTTACAGGTTCTTCTGTGGAAATGTTTTCAGTTATCTTCGTGGCAGAGTAGAGAAAACCAGTCGATCTCTCTGAAGGTACAGCTCCCCCTTTTATATCATCATAGATGTCAATAGCATTCAATAACAACCCATTTTTGGATGACATGCAATTACTGCTTTTACCGACAGAGGACATTATTTGCAATGAGGCTGATACACTTTTGTAATTGTGGACTCCATTCTCTTCTTCTGAACAATAGTGGGTTGTAGAAATCCTCTGACTAAGACTCTTCTCATTCTTTACATCTGAAGCTCTGCTACATGTGAGTTCTAGAGACCGAGGTCTAGCTCCCTCATTTAACTTTTTATTTTTAAGTTCACATCTGCTTCTCTTCCCTGTAACACGTGGTCTTCCCAGGCAAAGTAGTAAATCGGGATATGTGCCTACATTGGGGCGGCAATCATCATGCTCTGTTCCAGAAACCCCTTCACAGAAGTTTGAGGAGACCATGCTCCGTTCTGCTATTCCATTTATATCTGCCACCAGCTCACGAAGCAACCTCTGGACAAACGGATTTTTGAACCCAAAAAGCTACATGCGATGAAAATAGAAGGAACTAGATTAAGCACAGTCAACAATTACTATAGAAGGGATGAAAAACATAATATAAATGACAAATGAATAATTGTTAAATAGTATAAAAGTGAAAAAAGAAAAAGAAAGAAAGACAGAGACAGAATTATGAGATTTATCATCACATAGGCAGCAACTGTTGTAAAATGTGGGTACCAATCCTCACACGTTCAGATCTCTTTACTTTTTGGGGTAAAGAAAGTTTACTTAAGAGAGAAAAGAAGGGTTACAACTAGAGAGGAGAACAAGACATCCTTATGAACAAAAACGGTAAGAAAGAAAACAGAAAATTAGAGTAACAAAGAAAAATCCAGACAATATTTTCTCTTAGAAATGTTTTGAGGTTGAGGCACAAATCACAAAACTTGAAGAAATTAACAGTACAAGGACATAAATCCAATATGAAAAGGGTGGTCAATCTCATATGTTTGACTCAAAGACATTCAGGGTTACAGTTGTTAACAGTAGCTGCATTTTGATATTAGTTCTTGAGGCCTACATTAGAAAAGGTATGCGGATGACCTCTGAGCATATCACGGGACAGAGAAAAACATATGGCTAGTCAAACTCAAGGTGCCAACCCTATTTCTTTCTTTTGTACTTTACTGGCTCTTTACTTCTAGAACAAGGTCAACGAAATTAGGAAAACTCCACATATATATATGACTGAAGAGTGCAAACTCAACCAAGTAATTAAAAAGTGACAAATGATGTCTTGAATGTCGATTTGTTACTTTGAGCTTGAATGTCGATTTGTTACTTTGAGCTGGAAAAGTACAATGAGAAGGAATTTAGTTATGGTGTTTTAAGCACTGATTAGTACCACTACCAAGAAGAATTTGAATTCCGAAATTTACTAAAAGTTGTTTTTATAGGATAGTTTACGCAAGAAACTAGATATTAGTAACTCAGTAGGCAAAGCCATGCCACAAAATTTTGACACCTAGAGTCTAACCAAAGAGATTGTAATAGAACTTAACCACAATATAGAAAGAAAAAGAACGTTTATTGACAGATACTCCTATCTGTGGGTCTGCATCAATGGAATACAAGATAAGATATGAGGAATTGAAGATGCAAAGAGAGTGCACAATAACAGATGCACTTTCCCTCCTTTTCTAAGTATTTGAGAAACCTGTTTTCCTAATTCTCTTTCCCTCAATAAATAACTATCCCAACTAACTCCCAATCTCCCCTTCTAACTACACGTGTGACTCTTAATTTTCTGCTAATGATATCATTGTTAATTATGAATTCAATGTAAGCATGATTCACTGAGGAAAAAGAATAAAAGAAACAGCAAGCATACTATGGATAAAATATTATATTATAGAAAATAGAATATATACATTAGCAAGTCTTTCAATGAAAATTTCAATATGCCATTAATAAGAGTTCTATTCTATTTTTATGCACCCAAAAAAATGTTGATTTTTTTTTCTTGTTAAAAAGATATTTGAATAAAACATAAAGAATTACAGCACAGTCAAAATTAGATTAGAATAGGTTGTCAGTAGCGGCCCGTAGCGCCACAAAACCGCTACCGTAGCGGGTAGCGGCGGTCGGCCGCTACAAACCGCGACGCTACGAGACATTGGCCGTAGCATAAGGTAGCGGCGTAGCGTAGCGGCAATGCCGCTACCCGCTACACCGCTACAGAACTCCCATGTTGGAATTTGATGGAGAATCCGGAGATGATGATGATTTTCTTCATTAGTTCACTTCTTGTACTTGACTATTTGACAATTTTATTGTTCATTTGTGTTTAGTTTTGGATCCTTCCTTTATGTTCCTTGTATTTGACATTGATTGCGAAATTATGTGTTTGATTTTGTGTGACTTCTTATGTTCGAGCATTAATACTAAAAGCAGTATTGCCTCGTTTCTTGACTGTTAGTATAATATATGTGGAATTAATACTTCACCGTAGCGGCAATACCGCTACCCGTTATACCGCTATACCATTTTCGGGGTCGGCCGTTACCGGCCGCTAACTACTACTGACAACTATGATTAGAAGTGCTTAAATGAGTTTGGAAAAAGATTAGGCTGTGTTTAGTTTGGAAAGATTACTGGAAATTTTAAGAAAATTTCTGGAATTTTATGGAGTTATCAATGTCAACATTTTCTACCTCCAAGCCATCCATCTTAGATGAAAGTCTCTTCCCATGCCAAATCTTCATGCGGGGGCAACCTTTTTTCTGAAATTCCTCCCATGCAAAGTCTGGAGTTTTCCCGGAAGACGAACTCCCATCATCAGAAGAAATCTGCATAAACAACATGTAACTGAAATTGTTTGATAAAAATCAAAGCAAGCTGTAAACTTTTAGTATATGGAATCAAAAGTCAAAACATATATAAAACACAAAGAAGCCTGAATACAAACCAAAAATGTAGGCCCATTAACACCTTCTTGAATTTCCATCTTATACGTGGTCCCATTATGAGCCCTAATGGCTTGATAACCAACTGGATATGGATATCGATCTTTTCCCTACAATGTAACCATTGTCAATGTACTACACCAGGCAGCAAAGGAAAACAAATTAAAGCAAATATTCAGTGTTTGCAAAATATTACTGCACAAATCCTGCTTTCCCATGAAATGACATTTCTGCAACTTAATCCATACAATAGTTTCCATCCTCAACATAAACCTGTGTTCAAGTATTCATCTCTCTCCTTTCTCTTCTTTTTTCTATAAATACATCACATAACCTTCACCACTGCCTCTTTGATTCACGAAATCCCCTCTTGAAACGGGACAAGGATCCATAGGATGCAGAAGTCATGGTTCATTCACTCAATGAACAAATAGCTGATCATATATCACCAAATAGCTCCCTACATCACTTACCATCAACTTTCAATCTACTACGTGGTTTGCAAAATTCAAACAACTGATAGGGAAAATCAGTTTATGAGAATAATACATAAATAATTCAACCAAAGTTATTATTATCATTAAACCAAGACGAACGCATCGGAATGAAAAAAAATCAAACAATGCGATACCACAGCAATTGCATACATCGAACTTGAAATTGAAGCAAAGCGAAGGAAATATGTTATCAAACCCTAGTGCTGCTCCAGTACTTCTTGTTCCAGGGTCCTTTGTAGATGGAACCGATGGAGATGATTTCAAGGTCATCGGTTTTCTCTTGTGCATCTGCTTGCGCGGGTTTCTCAGCAGTTCTAGTCTTCGCCATTGAAAAGAAAAGAGAGAGAAAGAGGGAGATGACAGTCTGTAGATAGATAAAAAGAGAGACAGAGAGAGAGAGAGAGAGACTAGATGGCGGGAATGGCTTTTGGGTTGTTTTAGTTTTTTAGTTCCCTCCACTGCTTCCGTGGAAAATGCCAAAATGTAACTTCTTGAAAAATAAAGAAGTTATCGCCGTTGCCTAGGATCGAACCCGGGTCAGGCAGGAATACTCACCACCACTATAATTCAACGTCTTCGCCGATCTAACGCTTTTAAGTTTATGTTGGATATTTGTCGTAATCAACATAAGTTATATTATTTTAGAGAAGAGATACCGGTAAAGACTAAAAATTATAGGACAAAAAGTAAATGATTTTTTTCTAATTTAAATTTTAAATATAAAATTTATTATTTTATGTTTATCTCTCTTAAAATGACATAATTTTATATCATTTAAAATGATAAATACTTTTCCCTTAAATCTTATATTCAATAAAATTTTGACATAAGAAACCAAAGTTGTTGCTTTTTTTTTCATTTTTCCAACCTTTTATTTATTACCTTATTAGCTCAGTTGCATTACTATTAGACTCATATTATAAAAATTTAGTATTAATTCCTGACATATCATTAATATTAATCATATTAATTCTTAGATATTAGACATATGATCACCATTAATACTATTCTAAATATCATGATGGAACTTTTGCATTATCAAAATGTTAACTGTTTGCTACTAAATTTTTTCGAGAACAAATTTATAAGTGTAAGAACTTACATCGTTAAATGGAGATTTTAGAAATTAAATAAGAATTATTAGATGAGAAATCTAATTAGTTGAATTAAATTATCTTTTTGAGAAAAGGATAAATAATGAACATTTTGCGGTAAAAATGTGTATAGGAAAACTACCCAATAACTTAAAAAAATAAAAGTGAGGGGTTATAAATAATTTAATAATGGAGACAAGATAATTAGAAAGAAAGCCTAATTATTTAAATTAAATCACTTTTTTTGCGAAAAGTGTGAATATTGTGTGTTTTGCGATAAAAGTTGCAGCAAGTAAAACTAATTGGAACATAGGGATAAATTAATTATTAGAGTAAATATCATTTTTGGTCCTCAGCAAATTTCACGATTCCCGTTTTAGTGTCTAGCAAATAAAAGGCCCATCGTGGTCCCTAAGAAATTCGAAATGGACCCATTTAGTTGAAATCGTAGCCCCTCAAAATTCAAAAAAGACTCATATTAGTCCCTAAAAGGACTAAAATGAGTCCATTTTGAATTTCTGAGAGACTACGATGGGCCTTTTTATTTGCTAGGGACTAAAGCGGGCATCGTGAAATTTGTTGAGTACCAAAAAGGGTATTTACTCTAATTATTAGTATTATTTCCTAATGTTATAAAGCTTAAATGATAAAAAAAATGCTTAAGTTAGAAAAAGTATGTGTAAGTTGTGGTAAATAAGAGTGTAACCTAGGTTAAGTGACACTATACCTAAAACCTAAAAACCCTAAACTTCTTCATAAAAAAACACGTTCTTTCTCATTTTCAAACCCTATGGCAGCAACCCCATCCCCACTTTGTCGCCCCTCTCTTGCACTCTCCTAGGATTTCACCCATGAAACAAGCAAAAACCTTCAACCCACCATGGAAATAACCTTGAAGCTAGTGTTTTGGGGGAGAAAAACATAATCTTGGAGAGCTTTTGATTGTTGGTTAGGGACTCAAAGGTAAAGTATTGACCTTGTTGGGAGCTTGGATACTCTTTTCTTACTTGGGTGAAACTTCTTGATGTAAAAGAACCAACCTTTGCTAGGTCCATTTCGTGCACTTCACTAGGCAAACCTGGAGAGTAGAGTTTAAGCATAGAAAGTCTCCTCCTTTTTCGGTTTTGACAGCTTCAAGGTATATAGCAATCATTTCCCATATGTTTTCTTGCAAACAACATGATTGGGTGGTGAAAAGTAAGGATTTTGATAACCTAAATGACAACTAGTGAGAACATGTGTAAAAAATGGTAGCTTGAACCTCTGTGAACCTTAAAAATGACACCTTGTTGGATTAATTATTCAAAATTATTGTTTTGCGACGAATATCCGGATATGAACAGTGCAATATTCGGATATGAACAGTCCAATATTTCGATATTGTAACAGCATCGAACATAATTTAGTAAAAATTCAATATCTCGATCTACGTAGCTCCAAATTGAGTGAGGTTTGGACCTATCTGAAGCTAACACATAGGGCTATAAACTTGTAAAATTTTGAAGTTGCAACCCGTAAGAACACGCACCGTTAATTAAGGAAGTTAATTAATTAATTATGAGAAATTAGGAAATAATTCCATAATTGATCCTAATAATTATGAGAAGGCTTAAATAATATTGGTAAGTGAGTAATAATGCTGAAAGTCGCTTTTCTGACGAAGAGTACAGATACCGGTTCTGCTCCTCGATATAAATTCGTACCGATGAAGTACCGCGGAAAATTATAATAAGTGTGGAAATATTCCTAGAATAATTTATAAGACTTGTAAAACAAGTTTGAGGTCAAAATAACGAGAACTGGTGCCAGAACTGACACTGACTATGGAAAAGCGCATACCAGAAAGGTGCTGCGAAAAATAAAATAAAAATATGACAAATCTTAGAAAAATGAGTAGGTTCAGATTCCAAAGTATGGGATTAAAATGATAAGCGTAGCTATTAGCGCCAATACAATGCGTTTAAGTTTAAACCGGCTATAAATACTTATTGTTGGCTCTAAACCCTAGGCCATATCAGTTTTTCTACATAGAGTGGAGGCTGACCAGCATTCTCCTACTGTTCCATTGCCTTCTTCTTCACCTTGAGAGCCAAGAAGTCATCTTCCTTCTTGGTTTTCTTCATCAAATCTCCTACTGTGGGTGTCCATTAGACTTGTGAGGTTGAGAGGCACCTTTTTTTGAGTTTTCAGCCACTGTTTTGTGAGGTTCTTGGGGCTGACTTGTTGGTTGAAGTGGTGGGAGCCATTTTCTTGGTTGTGGGAGCTTCAAGTTGAGACCTTTGTGAAGAAAAGACCAACATTAATACCCATTTTCGTTCACCTTGGTGTCTGCATCATAAGAGTTGAAGGGAGAGCACCAAGAGCACCTCCTTGTTCTGTTTTAACCTTGGGGTATGATCATCACTTTTGTTCTTGAGTTTCTTTAATTAAAAATGAAGCCTTGATGCATGTAATGAACTAAAGTTGATAACTTAAGGTTGGGTAAGGTTAAACACACCTTAAAATGCATGTTTAAGCCTCTGGAATCATGAAATGAACCACATTTGGGTAGGATATCTCGCGAAATGCAGAACTGCATTCTGTCGCGAAATATCCGGATATTGACATTCGGATATGGGGTCTGTTGATATCCGGATATGGATATCCGAATATGACCCCGACATATATCCGGATTGTTAGTATATGGATGTCCTAGAGACAATCTTTTGATTAGATTAGGACATATGTGGACCTTTTTATATTGTCGCAAATAAATAATAAGCATTCTTTATCCTGTTTCATATTTTGTCTCAATATTATTGTTAATATATTATATGAGTAACTGGATAAACTCCTTAGAATAAAATAGATATCTCTCGAGTATCTATGATGAGATCACGATCATGAGGATTTAAGGATACCAGAAGTTTATTCCTAATTTTATGTTCCTAGTCTAGAGACACTGAGAATGGGGATCAGTAATCTTGGGTAAGACTAGCACGACTTATCTACTTGTATTCGGATACAAGGTAAAGACCTCATGAGCTACAGATATGGAGATATCTTAGCTAAAGTCGTGGGTGGACCTATAAGGGTATAGCTCGCACTGAACAAACCCACAAAGAGACTCTATGAGGAAATCTTACAAAAGTATCATTAGAACAGACCATAAGTTGTCACCTAGACTGTGTTCTAGAAGGCATGTTTTGATTGTATACCTCGTCTGCCTGAAACATGGAGACTCATAGGTATACTTTTGGGCATGTCCTTAAAGAGCACAGGCCTAGGGTGATAAACTGAAGGAATTCGTCAAATCTCTGTAAAGGATTAAGTTATTCTTAAACCGGAGAAATTGGGATGACATTTACAGGACTCGGGAATCTATGCATAGTAAAAGAGATCATGAGATGATCTGCCTTTAGAGTCAGTAAATTGAAGATTCCCTATTTCGAATTAAAGCTTACCCTAAATCGCAAGGGTTGATGCATTTCTTCACCCTAGATTTAAAGGGAAGGTAACCGAGACGAAAAGAAATACATACGGTAACCAAATATATGTAATAGGATGATAATGTCATTAACCTAACTAGCTCTGGGGCAACAAAGCATTGCTAGTGCTCTGTGTTGTCATTAAATGGGTTGTGGGCTTGTTGGGTCCAAGCCCATTTATGTCAGTGGCTATGTTGGGCCTAATGGGTCACACACTAACACCTTATTGTCTTGATGATATAGCATTAAATATATTGGGCCTAATAAAGGTTGTTAGCCCAAGAAGAAGTTTGGAAGCCCACCTAAGAGGGAAAGGGCGCATGGTAATTGTAATGGGCTTGGATGGTCCAAGACATTATTAATTAATTTAATTAGTTAAATTAATTATCAAATATTTAAATTTAGAATTTAAATTTAGAATTTGAATTTAGAATTTAAATGTTTGAATTCGAATTTGAATTGGCTATGAAAAGTTGTTTCATAACAAAAGGATAAGATAAGATCTTGTTGGAACAAATCCCTAGTATCAAGAGGAGATATTTGAGCATCATCCAAGGTTGTTTGGGGCGCTTATTTGGGTTGTTATGAGTGTCATTTAGTCAACCAAGTAAGCTCCAAATCAGATTTGGTTGGTTGAGAGAATAAGTGAGTAAGTTGGTTCAAATTTGAATGCAACTACTCAATGTATTTGGACTGCATTGTGGACCAAAGGGGCGCACCATATGGCTGGCCATATGATGGTCATTAGGTCAGAATTTTGACAAGGT